AATCATATGCGTCCGTAAGGGGTTCTGATAACCCCTATTTTTAATAATCATGTAATTTCTACGGCACTGGAAAATTTTCAAAATGAATAAATTTTTTTACATTGCTGTTTATTCTACAGCAAAAAGGTCTCGCACTATTTTTAAATGGAATGCTTGGTTTTTGAAAAAATGGCTTCTTATGGAATCATTTCATGTGAAATAGTTAAGTTTTCCGTACCCCTTTTCAAGGAATGCACTTATATCAGAAACACCCTGTATATCCTCATACATTTGAATAGAACAGTTTCATATGAACACACTGACATTTCTTTATGTTCAGTTCACGTCATTTGTTGTTATAGATAGAAATTTTCTGGTCCTGTAAGCAAAATATATGTACCTACCTACACAGAATTTCTTTTAATAAAATATGTATAAAAATAATTGATTTTAGATTACTTCTTTCTTCTTTCAACAGCAATTTAATTTCAGCATTATATGTAGGTATATTACAAATATTTGCATTAATCTTAAACAGAAATATCCGTATTAAACGGGAGGCTAGGATACCCTTGCGAAGGAACTAATTTATCCTCTTAAATTATCCCTTCCCGAGGAAGTACATAAGACGTCTTATTTTTAATTACTTCAAATCTGTTGTCCGTTGAGATTAAAGTATTCCTTCTAGCAGCGTTAAGATTGCTCGTTAAACTGCAAGCAAGTTCTCGAATTGCGTCATTACAGAAATCTCTCTGAACTTAACTACTTATCATATGTTTTACTGTTAAGAACCTTAACTTTTAAATCTGAAATTAACGAGATTTTTTCTCGAACCCATGTTTTAGGGACGCGAATGTGTAAATTTTTATCCGCCATCCTCTTCATCCTGGGAACTTATTAAATTAATGCTAGAATATGGGACGTAAATGTAAAATGTAACATAATGAATCATCTCGAAAAATGGAAACATACTTTTAGTATGTATGATATTATCTGAAATGAGTTTTTAAAGGAAAATTTTAGAATTGAGGAACAGCTTTGAAACTTTTAAGGCATTATCGTGTCGTAAGTTAATTCTTTTTGATTGGCAGTGAAAAATGTGTCGGATACATTTTATACTCGTTTAGTTATAAATTTTTAATATTTGCCCTTGTATTTCTACTTTATCATAAAAGGTATTAAGCTCATTAAAATCAAGTCTAAAATTTTCCTTAAAACCTACCACCTCATGAGTGCCCCAATGTTCTAATTTAGGGTACTTCTTTTTTATTATATTTTAAAATGATTTGTCGTTAAAGTTAACTAGTGTCAATTTACGTCTATTATTTGCTGATGCTGTAGATATACAGGGTAGCCCATCGAAAACGTACCGCAAGGCATTACAGGGTAGTAAAGAACTTTTCGGCAAAATCCAAAAACCGGTCAAATTTGTTTATGAGGGGGACAACTTTCGGCTCAAAAAGCATATCAAAATCTTCAACCCCCTAAGTGGGGATGCCATCCCCCAAATTTTTTTAAATAGGAATGGGGTTCAAGTGGGGGGTCATTAGAAAGGGCTTTTAATTCTCTATACATCGATTCTTACTTTTTGAAAATCGATTCATTATTTTAGAAAATATGCAGCTTTGAAAATACGAACAATATTTTTGACGAGAAATGCGAAAATCGATTTAATTTTACTTCAAAACTTACGGTATTAGTCAAGTAAATGCTGAAAATGTTGTCCGCCAACTTGCATACAATGATACAGGTTGTCTTCAAACCGTTGTCGAACATTCTGGAGCACTTGCGGTGTTACTTCGCGACATACATTAATGATTCGTCCTCGCAGATCTTCCAAGGTATCAGGTGGAGTGCTGTAAACTTTGCTTTTAATGTGCCCCCAGAGAAAGAAATCTAAAGGATTTAAGTCGGGTGACCGAGGGGGCCACTCAATTGCACCTCTTCGTCCTATCCAGCGTCCTGGAAACGTCTCATTTAGGTAATTGCGCACATTGAGCGAGTAATGTGGAGGAGCTCCGTCTTGCTGGAAAATCAGTTCGTGTTCATTGTAAGCAGGGTCGTCCTCTATGATATTTGTTAGAGCTGGGTCGATGACATTTTGTAGTAAATCCAAGTACATATCGCCTGTCAAATTTCCAGGAAGGAAAAAAGGACCTACAATGGAATTTCCAAAAATACCTGCCCATACATTCAACTTCTGGGGGTGTTGGGAGTGTGTCTCATGGAAAATCCTTGGATTGGTATCAGCCCAGTAACGACAATTATGGCGATTCACTAAACCATTCAAGAAGAACGTACACTCGTCCGAAAAACACACATTAAAGAGGAAATTATCGTTTATCGCTCGTTCAGTCATTATTTCGCAAAATTGCAAACGACGATCAAAATCGTCTTCATTTAGCTCTTGCACTAGCCGAATCTTATAAGGATGGAATTTGTATTTTTTTAATATTCGTTGGACACTTGTACGACTCACTCCTGTCGCAGTAGCCAATTGCATTGTACTCAGCGTACTATCCATTGCCACTTGCCCCAATACCGCTATTTCCGTAGGTTCATTTAGTACCGGATTTTCAACCTGCCTCTTTTTGTTATGAACGGAGCCAGTTTCGCGAAATTTGGCCACCAATTCGCGAACAATTTTTCCAGACGCATGTTTCTCAGGATGCCGTTGGTTGAACAGTTCGGCGACCCGATTTCCGCATTCATTGTTTTTGAAAAAAAGCTCAATAATTTCTACTCTTTCTGGAATTGAGTACACCATAATTAATCAATTTAAAAGACTCGGCAGTATTGGTACTCTTCAACTACAAGTCACAAGACAGTTATCTAGCAACTTCTTGTGGCCTATCTAAATACGAAACAAAAAGCGGACAATTTTTTGCTCACCAAAATCAGGCTAAAGAATTCGCAAATCAGAAAAAAAAACAGCGAATTCTTTTGAAGGAATTTACCAAGCTAATACCGTAAGTTTTGAAGTAAAATTAAATCGATTTTCGCATTTCTCGTCAAAAATATTGTTCGTATTTTCAAAGCTGCATATTTTCTAAAATAATGGATCGATTTTCAAAAAGTAAGAATCGATGTATAGAGAATTAAAAGCCCTTTCTAATGACCCCCCACTTGACCCCCATTCCCATTTGAAAAAATTTAGGGGATAGCACCCCCACTTAGGGGGTTGAAGATCTTGCTATGCTTTTTGCGCCAAAAGTTGTCCCCCTCAGAAGCAAACTTTACCTGTTTTTGGATTTTGCCGAAAAGTTCATTACTACCCTGTAATGCCTTGCGGTACGTTTTCGATGGGCTGCCCTGTATATGCAGATATCAATAACATTAAGTTATAAAAAACTTATAGATTTATGAAGGTTTGAAGTTAAGTAAACTCGGCATTAAATTTCCAGCACCCTGTATGCAATTAAGCCACTTTGAAAGTATGGATGGGAAGCTTAGGGGTCTAGCTGTCCTCCCTATAAATATTGTTGCTTTGTTTTTGTTACTATAAAATACAAATGGTTTGAAACTAGTCAAAGTTTCTCTCCATATTTTTGAAAAAAAATAAATATCTCGAAAACGGTTAATTTTAGGAATAGGGACACTTCATAAAAGTCCACCTAAAATAACACGTAGAATCCAAAATTGGTAGGAAGTGGTATGTGGACGCCATTATTTTAGTTAAAGGGCATGCCTGAAAACCCGGTATCCCAAATTTTCAAAATTCAAATCGAAGTAGTCTCTGAAATAATTCTAATGATCCGTCACCGTGATACCGTGTAAGTGTTGATAGTATAGCAATGTATTACACTCAACAGTTTATTACAATTTTATCTTTATGGTAGCAGCTCACTTTAATTCAATTTCAAAGGTGATATGAAGTACGAATCTTCTAGGATGTTACCTCAATATACACATTCACCCCAAGTTTATTCGGGTTCTCGTTCTCCCTTCGTCCTGCCAGTTGCCACTTCACTGCCAGTCTTTATAAAATTTCGTCCTCCTTTTCACCCTTTCAACGCAACCATACCTGATCAACTGATGCTGCTTTGTGTCAGAAAATGCTCCCTTCTATTTACAATCCCTTCATCTGCTTCCTCATCCCCAGCTCTGTCTTCCTGTGATACACTCATCAGTCATTCTATCGCATTCAATTCTCGCGTCTGCGTTCGTTTATTTTAATTCAAACGTCATATTTTTGCGCCCTTTATTACAGAATTAGGCGTCCCTAATGTGTATATGAGGTGTCACTTTTATATTTTCTAGTCTTTCAATCTATAAATTAAATAAGGTATCATCGAAAGTGGGACTTTTCTATTAATATATCTCTTGTTGTGAAAATATAATTGGAAGAAATCCTTAAATAACCCTGTAGTAGTGACCTTGTACAAACATTTAATAACTTCTTTTATGACTAATCCTGTTTCCATTTCCTGTTTACTGAATGCGGAATAAACAGAAAGACATACTAAGGATCTAGGTTAAAACGTACCTAATGATCGTCTTCAGAGTTTTTTAACCGACCTTTTAAAGCTTTTTTGTAGCTATAATAATATTTATGTTTATTATGACATGGTTCGTTTTCAGATATGCTCGATATCAGTCAGCCCCATCACTAATTCCCAGTTCATTTAGTTCGCCATTACAACGCAGACAGTTACGATTTAATCACTTTTGTTGTCTTCTAATTGCAAATCAGTTTAGCGACAAACAGCCCTTTGTTAACAGCATGTTAATAACATTATTGGTACAGTAGTTGTAACAGGAGCGTTTCGTTGCAGATGGAACAATTGCCTCTAATATTTAACATCAGTTGTACCAAAGCCTATGAGAAATTTATTCACTAATTATCCCCTTTGCAATTTCCCCGTGTGGTTTTAAACAATCCTGGTTTAAGTATATGCAAATTTGTTCGGGTTTACATCGAATTAACAAGTGTACCAGCAATTTGCGAAACAGTTAATCGCGTCCTCTTGTAACATGCAATTTACGTTAATCGGTATAAAACTAAATAAATAAGTATCACATTGCATTTATTCTTTATTAATATGGTATTACATTACATTTTCTCATTGTAATTCATTTCAAATGCAGGTTGTTTCCCAGGAATCGTTGTGGGTCCTGTCACCTTAATTACAAGGATGTGTATTGTGTATTGCCTAAAATATATTGAGGGTCTAAATTTTTAACCACCAAAACAATTATAATCGTTACCTTAATGCGTTCATATCCAGGTCTAGTAAATAATATTTAATCGTTCACAACTGTCGCCGGCCGTGAGATCCTAGGGAGAAATCGTATTAGATCCACCCAAGTGCATGCCTAGCTCCTAGAATAGAAATAAACATTCAATCATACTGATAACCTAAAATGTAAACAAGCAACTAATACTTAGTAGATTATCGATAGACTATACTCAGGATAGACAAAGTTAGTTAAGAACATTAAGTCATTTGTTTGGTACTTACCATATTTTTGTAGATTCGTAGATGAACGATTGGCATTGTGTGGATTATTTCCTAAGGATGAGAATTTGTGTTGACATTTGACCATTTCGTTTCTTTTCGTCCTTTCTCTTCCGGCTGAAACTCCACCTACCTACCTGCCGAATTCAGTTCTGGTTCTGCGCGGTGCGTTGTTGCCCGATTGTGCGCTGAATCTTCCATGTTACCACTTTTCTATATCAAGGTATTTCTAATAAATATACACGGGAATGATATCTTTAGCTACTTATTTATGTTCAGGGAACTTAATCAAGGTGTTATAAATCATATTAGATTTGATTTTAGGGTTAATAATTGTTTACTATAGTTTACTTAGTTTTAATTGGTCAGACTCCAACCAATAGGGGTCAGGGATAGTTTTTTGTTAGCTTAAACTCAGGAGGGGATCCGCGCAAATTTTACACTTTATTACTTCCGGTACCTGGCTGTGTGGATTGGGTGTGTCGTAGTGTTGGGAAAACTTTTGTGATTTTTGAAAATCAGCTCTTTAGGATATTTGTTTTCCAAACGCCTGATGTTGATTGTGGTCCGTCGCATGTTGAGTAATTTTTGTGGAACCCAATCGCCAATCTTTCTTGTAAAGGATCTGTATCGTCACACCACGCAGCCAAGAGCGTGGTCCCACCTCACGTTTTTCTGTAAGTTATATTTTAAATTTTGTCAGTCTTTATCTTAGTTTCCTCGTGTAAGTTTAGATTCTAATTGATATCGTATTTACAGTTTACATAAGGCCCCATTCGCGTAAATTTGGGAAAGAAAAGTTCCTGTGCAGTTCAAATAAATTTAAGAACCCCTTTGGCCAAGGGTAAGTTTTTTCTATGCAACTTTTATCTATTTGAATATTCCTTCGTTCCACCAATTAGACTTTTATATAAATTCCTATAATTTTGATACCATGTGCTTAATTTGCGATGTTGCCGAACTGACTTTTGTCCTTTTCTCAAAAAATATTCAATGTTCAAGCATATTTACAAGTAATTGTTTTAACTGTTCAAATGGTTCGGTAGTTGCATATTTTACTGCATTTAATTCGTTTTTTTTTTCAAAGTAACATAGTGATCACTTATATCACTCAATTTTGATTTAGGGTTCTTATGTTGGGCTAGTCCGGCGAAGTAAACCTTATGAAAGATCTCTAGTCCGGCGAAGTAAACCTTATGAAAGATCTCTAGTCCGGCGAAGTAAACCTTATGAAAGATCTCTAGTCCGGCGAAGTAAACCTTATGAAAGATCTCTAGTCCGGCGAAGTAAACCTTATGAAAGATCTCTAGTCCGGCGAAGTAAACCTTATGAAAGATCTCTAGTCCGGCGAAGTAAACCTTATGAAAGATCTCTAGTCCGGCGAAGTAAACCTTATGAAAGATCTCTAGTCCGGCGAAGTAAACCTTATGAAAGATCTCTAGTCCGGCGAAGTAAACCTTATGAAAGATCTCTAGTCCGGCGAAGTAAACCTTATGAAAGATCTCTAGTCCGGCGAAGTAAACCTTATGAAAGATCTCTAGTCCGGCGAAGTAAACCTTATGAAAGATCTCTAGTCCGGCGAAGTAAACCTTATGAAAGATCTCTAGTCCGGCGAAGTAAACCTTATGAAAGATCTCTAGTCCGGCGAAGTAAACCTTATGAAAGATCTCTAGTCCGGCGAAGTAAACCTTATGAAAGATCTCTAGTCCGGCGAAGTAAACCTTATGAAAGATCTCTAGTCCGGCGAAGTAAACCTTATGAAAGATCTCTAGTCCGGCGAAGTAAACCTTATGAAAGATCTCTAGTCCGGCGAAGTAAACCTTATGAAAGATCTCTGGATCTGCAGATGTGTCATCCACGGGGACGCACGCAAGTGATAAAATAGTTATTTTTTTTCTCCTGCTGTTCCTACACACGTTAATAATTAGTATAGCATTATTATTAAGATTTATTTTATAAATAGAAGTAATTAACAATAGGTTAAGTGGGCAAAGGTAATATTCATTAGGGTTTTGTTTTTATATTATTAAGTTTACGTCTAAACTTAGAAGTGGGAGTTGTGAACTTACATGTTCTGATTGATATTCCATCAGTATTTTTCATATAGAGCATTTAATTTTTTTCTTGTTGTCTAAAGATATATAAATTGTTCACTACTGCCATACTGGTAATTATTCCTTTGTTCAAGCTACTACATGATTCGCGGCTTTTAGTCATAATTAGATCCCCACGAGGTGGACCAAAGGAAAATTAAGGTGTTGCAATAATAATTTTTTTTTTTTTGCAAGAATTTATCTTGCATTATCGGGGCTTATACGAAGCCGGTGCTGCGCCTGAGCTCACACGACGCTTGACCACATATTGTTCTTAGTCGCCTAGTCACATCTATAACCTTACGCCCTTAATTTTTTTCCCCTTATTTATATTATTATTTACTGCGAATTATTTGTATTAACGGCAGCAGTAACAATCTATATTTTCTATTTTCTTATGATCTAATCTTAAATAGAGTGCAGATTAATAAATGATGTTTACCATTGAGTGTGTTATTTGATCTTGTTTGACAAGTTTTCTTGATCAAGTAGTAGGAATTATAGTAGGTGATTGGTGGTGGAAAATTTGTCTGGCGCCCTTAACAACCGAGTTATCTAGTTAGTAGTATGCTACTTCCTAGTCCAATCAACCCCCCCCCCCATCTCCATTGAGTTGGCCAAACAACCTACCGTCTACATATAGCTGAGGTAGAAAATCTTACACTCTACTGTTTAGATATCGGTAAGGGAGCGACCTTGGGTAAGGTCGTGGCACTCTATTGGTGTGTCTTTGAGTAGTGTAATGAACGTATTGCAGAATAAAATAGATTTGGATACATTTTAGCGTATACGTAAGGGAAATCATAAACTGAATAAACAATTTACAAAATATATACAAACTGAATAAATTGGATCGTTAATTAATTAAGATCTTATTGGAAAGCGAAGAAAAAAATCTTCCATTCTGCTATTTCCAAAGTTTCCATAACAAAAGTAAAAAGAAAACTAAGTGGGACACAACGATGCGAATATCAGATAGCGTTTTCCCTAACCCAGAAAGCGCAGTAATTATAATACAAAGTATTCCAAATTTAGATAAGAATATAATTTTCATAAATGTCTCCATTTAATTAAATATGCATAATATTAAAAAAGTCATACATTCTTATAATATTTATTATTTTTTTTTAATTTGATTTGAATTTCTACCTGAGAAATATCCCCTTAAAGTTATTGGACGTCCTCGTGGAATACCCTGTATATTCAACATAAAGATGATATATTTTATATTTAACTTTCAGAAAAAAATATGTCTACACATAAACTTTAACCCCTAAGGTCGTTTCTACTTTTTTTGTTAATACTCCCATTATATTGCATTAAGTTTTTATTACTCTTCAATTTTTGTCCTTTGTTTTCAAGCAAAAAGCAATTATTTTGCAAAAGCCATGCTTCCACACGTAATATAATAGATAAGATATAATTGTATAAAAATAAGTAAACGTTAAATATTCAATTCAATAATTTTAAAAGTCAAACTGAAAATTAAACATTATGATAAGGTTTTATTAATATTTAAAAATGTATTTTGAGACTAATAAAATAAGTTTAAGAAAGTAAAGAAAATCGCATGTGTCCCATTGGTACCCTAAAGAAAGCAAAATTAAAAAATTTAAATGCATAATATTGTTTCCGTTTTGATGTAGCCATTGATCATCAGCATTATCTGTTGTATTTATAATTACCTATCTTTAGGTTTTGTAGAAGGCTATTTCCGGTAGTTTCCTCCAATCTTCTCAATAATGTTTAATCAGCAAACCAACAAAAGAATTTTAAGCGACTTTTAGCTTCCTGTTTAATGGTATTTCTGACTGTTTAATAAATAAAATTGATTTGTAACGTTAACACTAGAATACCGTGCTATTCCCTGACAAGAAAACAGGCAGTGTTGGTAATAGATTCATAAATCATAGAGAAAGTTCCGAAAACAACTTACATAGACGCATCAAGTTTTAGGTATCGAAGAAGCAGTTTTGACGATAGCAATAGATTTCCCGTTAAGAACTAAGAACTAGAAAAATATGATTTTTTAATATTTTGACGATTAGAGAATGTTGCAAGTAACGGCGTGTAATACAAAGTATATGCGTTTTTACTCTTTATTAAGATTGTTACGTCGTAACATTTCAAAGATATTAAGCTAATTCAAAGAAAGAAATATTTTAAATTCAAGTCAAACAACATTCTTCAATACCAGAAATCTGAGACGCAATAGACATCCAACATCACAGACAAAATTGCTAACTGCTGGTATAATTGTTATGATTTCAGTTGGAACCGCATAAAAACACTTAACTCGTAAATTCTACGGAATCCATAGGCGTTCAGAAAAATTTTGCCATGTTTCGTCTAGATGTAATTTTTTGTAAATAATCTTTTCGAAGTCCAACTGTACGTCGTGATTCCATAATTTCCATACGATTGTCAAGTGTTTTAAGTTTAAAGACTTATAATTATCTATAATCAGGATAATCGCTTAATTTATCTCGAATCATGTATAAAGTAGGAACTTTATTTTCTCTATACATAATATAAATTGTGCGCCGTATTACATCCCTGGTAAAATCGTCAATATTCTTTAATTTTGTATTTTTCCGTTTCTTCTTTGTATCGTGATTAATAACGTCTCCTTCTTTAATTACGCGATAAATTGTCATTTTTGATATCTTAGTTAATTCGCTAATCCGTTTCCTAATTTCTTTATCACATTGTTCACTGTTTTCTCTTTTCAAGCATTCATATATATTTAAAATAATACGTTGACTTTGTACGTATAAAGCTTTGTTTTTAAACTCTGAGTATGTTTCGACGCTTTCGACAAAAACCGGATCAACTATTTGGGATTAGTTATTTCGTTATCCTTCATTTCAACGGGTCTCCAGACAGCCATGCTAAATAATACTTATATTTATAAATATTTACTTATAATATTTATTTTAATAAGTATTACCCATTACTGCTTACGATATGAACAAAATTAAATAATAATACGTATTATACCAACAACATACCACGCCAAGCACTGCTCTGCACTGCACTGGC